ACATTACCAAGATACATTACAATCCCAAGAGACTATAAGATGCAATTTCTAGTTACCCAGCATTTCTAGAGTGACACATCCGGTTTTCAACGGAACTCTTTTTTCTTGGATGTGACTACCGGAAATAGAAAATGATATTTTTATAATATTAAACAGTTTGCACAGTGTTTGCAGATAACACAAGGATTGAATTGTCTAAGGTAGCGTGGCCTGGCCGGAGAGTCATTTGATATTACATTTACTGTCCCTTGAAGGTTATTTGATATTACATTTACTGTCCCTTAAAGGTTATTTGATATTACATTTACTGTCCTTTGAAGGGTATTTGATATTACATTTACTGTCCCTTGAAGGGTATTTGATATTACATTTACTGTCCCTTGAAGGTTATTTGATATTACATTTACTGTCCCTTGAAGGGTATTTGATATTACATTTANCCCACCCACAGAGAAGAAATAAATAAACCGAACCAGGATAATCCTTTACTGTATTCTTAACACAATACATGTCGATAACAAACCAAAGGATTTTCTCTTTGCACAAATAATTACCCAGGGGCGCCTTCATTTTACCTGGTGTAGCTAGCATGAACAATTTTAATAATTACTAGTCTTCTTTTAAAATCAACTTTGAAGACTGAACACAAAAAAAAATTGTTTAACTCTGTTTTTTTGTTGCCCCCTGAAAAGTTTACCCAATAGATGTTAGGCCCCAGGGATTATTAGAGAAATTATCTGTTATTGCTTGTCAATAGATGTACAAGGTATAATTAGTTTAGTCACACTCAAATACATCCAGATATCCATATACAGGCTCTTTTCTATCCTTTAATCTTGGGCTCCCAAGGTATAATTAGTTTAGTCACACTCAAATACATTCAGATATCCATATACAGGCTCTTCTTTATCCTTTAATCTTGGGCTCCCAAGGTATAATTAGTTTAGTCACACTCAAATAAATCCAGATATCCATATACAGGCTCTTCTTTATCCTTTAATCTTGGGCTCCCAAGGTGTAATTAGTTTAGTCACACTCAAATACATCCAGATATCCATATACAGGCTCTTCTTTATCCTTTAATCTTGGGCTCCCAAGGTATAATTAGTTTAGTCACACTCAAATACATCCCATATACAGGCTCTTCTTTATCCTTTAATCTTGGGCTCTCAAGGTATAATTAGTTTAGTCACACTCAAATACATCCAGATATCCATATACAGGTTCTTTTTTATCCTTTAATCTTGGGCTCCCAAGGTATAATTAGTTTAGTCACACTCAAATACATCCAGATATCCATATACAGCTTCTTGATACACATCAAATTTATTTTGTTTTTGCTCATCAGTTAACTTGAAATAATCTTTATCTCGCATCAACTCAGTCAGAGCAGTAGTTTGAATATGTTGTTTTTGTACAATCTTACGCAACTCTTGTAAATTATGATAATCTGCAACATCACTCTTATGTAGTTCGTTATCCAAATAAAGTTGTTGCATATAGTACAGGTAATCATGGAATTGGTCTTGCTTGGGTAGCAAAAACCCTTAACCTTAATGCAAGAATTTATTTACCAGAAAATACCTCTCCAATTAAACAACAAACAGCAAAATATTATGGAGCAGAGGTTATACTAACTAAAACTAGACAAATGGCAGAAGATAAAGCAAAGAGTGACATAGAAAATGATTTTTACTATTTGCATCCTTCTGATAGTGATTCTAGTATAGCTGGGGCATTTTAATTTATTAGTCCCAAGATCTATAGTTAAATCTTTAGCGGTTAAATCACCAGCAATAGTTTGACTTCCAGGCAAGCTAATTATCTTAGCTTGACTTGCTTCAATGCTAGCAAACTTAATGTCTTTTTCTATTTTCTCCTCATAAGAAAATAACTAATTGCAAGAGCCATCGTCCTTCTATAAGCTCTCCTATTTTTAAAGCATCTTCAGTCACATTTCCAGAGTGGGATAAATTTGACCTTCTTAATGTATCATCTAATGCAAAGCCCATTAGAGAGTTTGTTAATTGGAGATATTGAGCCTCTATCAGAAGGGGTTTAGGAATTTATTACAAAAATCTAAAGAAACATTAAACTGATTGCATCCTCTCCAACAGATATTTCTTTAAGATAATCATAATTCATACTAACCACTCCAAATTTGTTTTATAGCTAACTCGACTAGTATTATGCTGTCATTGCGAGCGAACGTATGTGAGCGTGGCAATCCATTTCTAATCACTTTCCTGGATTGCTTCGTTGCCACTAAAGTGGCTCCTTGCAATGACTAAGTAATACTATTCGGGATAGCTATAACCATTAACTTTCATTTTGAGTATACACTAAAAATACCTAACACTAAGCTTTTCATGCAATTTAATTTGAAAAATATTTATATATTATATCATCCCTGCGTAGAATGCTATACCACAACTGTTTTTTATCCTTTAATCTTGGGCTCCCAAGGTATAATTAGTTTAGTCACACTCAAATACATCCAGATATCCATATACAGGCTCTTTTCTATCCTTTAATCTTGGGCTCCCAAGGTATAATTAGTTTAGTCACACTCAAATACATTCAGATATCCATATACAGGCTCTTCTTTATCCTTTAATCTTGGGCTCCCAAGAGTCTTGCTTGTTGAAATTGTTTGCCAGTTAAGATACTTTTTTTTACACTATGTAAAGTCTGAGCAGTCAAAAATTAAAGGCCCGGGCATTTTTAAAAATGTTTGATTGATTTTTCTTCGTTAGGCATTTATTTTTGTATTTTCTAAATATAAATAAAATAACCATTTTTCCAATACTCGTGGAAAAGCACTAGACGTATTATTCTGCGCTGCACATGGCACTATTCTGTTGCATAAAACGCGTTGGTTCAACCACATATTTGGTTCACTAGACGGGCTGGTACGGAACATGCAACTTTTGAACTAATTGATTGAACCAAAGTGTTTTCTTGACTCAATTCAATTAATTTTCTTCTTGATTATTATTCATCTTATTACTTTTGTTCTTCTCTTTTTCCCATTTGAAGTATTTGCTTTGAAGATGAAAATGATTAGAAAAATTTAAATAATTGACAGCATTTAATGAAGTTAGGAGGGCTCACAACCAAAATATTTTCTTTTCTAATGTTTCACGAAACTGCATTTGAAAAATATTTTTGCATCAAAAAAATTCTAAAGTTAAAGGGCTGCGAGTGAAGGTTAAGCTTCCCATTATAAGCTTAACTTAATCTTTTATTTTCCTGGCTTGCTTTCTTTGGAAATGACAAATCTTTATTACAATCTGAAGAAATGAGAATTCAATTTAGTTATCTAATAAAAGTTTAGATTTGACACAGCTCTTTTTATATCTCAGTTACGGTACCGGTTTTGAATTAAGCGCCGGCTTTTTTAGTGGAACCAATCATATTTGAGCCTCGGCTTAAATTTATTGCGCGGCTCAAATTCTTTAAATTCGGCCTCTGGAAGAACTTTGTTACAGAAGAGAGCAATGGTTTTATTTTTTTTTTCTTAATTCATCTACATTTTACATTCTACATAATCTACATTCTTAATTTATCTACATTCTTAATTTATCTACATTTTTAATTTATCTACATTCTACATATCTACATTCTTAATTTATCTACTTTCTTAATTTATCTACATTCTACATATATCTACATTCTTAATTTATCTACATTCTTCATTCTACATATCTACATTCTTCATTCTACATATCTACATTCTTAATTTATCTATATTCTACATTCTACATAATTAAATATTCTTCTAATGAATTGAACAGTGCTCCTTTGTTTACATACCTGGAGCCCAGTATTCACAGTTATATACATAATACATAATACATATCAAAATAATATGAAAAATTCTGGTTTACGTAGAATTTTTTTCTTTCAATTTCGATTTTACAGAAACACAAGATATATTTTTGTAAATAGCTTGTAATAGCTTTTACCTATTTTACATAGATATGGTTAAAAGAAATTGAGTCTTTGTAACAAATTTTGATTTTCTAATCTCTATATCTTTGCAACCAAATATCGAAGACCTCAAACTATGAATTCTGTTAAATCAAATATTTAAGTTTGAAATATAAAAATATAAAATAAGTCTTCAGCTCCTGTATTATGCGCCACTTAATCTTTTAAGGTCCTTGATTTTCAAGGAAAGATTGAAAATATTCAATGGCTAATAATTTAGTGGTTTTTTGAAATGGGGTTTAGCTTTTAGGATGAATCGTAATTAAAAACGAATCTTCATATTCTCATTTCCATTTCCGCTGATCTTAACACCATGTAGTTCCATGGGATAACTGAAAGGGACATTAAGAGTACATACAGACTGATCATTAAGGATAAGTAACTCTAAAGTTCAATATAAAAAGCCGTAAAATTGGAGTGTAGGCTAGCGTAAAGGGTGAGTGACATTACATTTATTCCTTGCAAATCTAGAATATTCTATGACCAGCACTGTTTTCAAAAATTAGAAAGTAAATATTAATATTCCTGAATATAAAACAGCTTGCTAAAACAAAGGGTATTGTTGTGAATTGCTAACAATCTTTTTAACCTGCACACCAGATGGATATAGAAGTAGTATGTACCAATTATTTCACAAATAACTTATAATATATTCTATATCCATTCAGCTATATACATCAAGTCTCACTAATCCAGTTGGCATAATAAAACAGCAAAGCATATGCAATAATACAGCGTATATGGGGGGGACAATGGGGGTTAAGAATGAAAAATTTAGTGCCCAAGGGGCCGGGGGGGGGGGGGGCTAAGTAAGTAAAGTCCCCCGGCACCCCCTTGACAAATTTCTATGTACATCCATGATTGCCCTCCACTACTAAAGTACGAATTCAATTTAACCTTAGTTTATGACAATTTTTCTCCTCTCAATAAAACTTCAAATAACAACCTTTTTGATTTTCAGATATGAAAAGCTTAAAAAAAACCAATTTTGTGTGTTTGTATTGCAGGGTCCTGCTGACTGCTGTCCTGGTTGGTCCCTGGGAGGATACATTGCTCTGCTCTTCAATAGAACTTCTTGTTTTACTATTCAGGTCTCATTATATAATTTCAAGTTTAGGAGTTACTTGCTCGATTTACCACAATTAAACCCTTTAAACCTTAAACTGTAGACGAAAATTGATTAGAGACAATAAGTGGATTTATGCAGCAACGACTGGAAGACAAATTGACAGAATTACTTTGTTGACAGTCTGTTTAGCTACGTTTTATCCGATATCATTTTTATATTTTGCATTTGCAATCTTGTGAAAATACTATTAAATGAATACTAATATCATTAATCACTTCTCTCTCAGCAATATACTTTATCTAGAAATATTCCATTATTCTGGAGTCACGGAAGTTCGTAGTAAGATTTTGATTCCACTGGAGACCACCGGAGGGAAATCTTTTTCACTGGAGGGGTTTGAAAAAACGCTTTTTACAATTCAAAACTTTACGCAGGGTGATTTACATTTCACTGGAGGGATTCAGATGTACTTCTTGGGGGGTTATAATTCCACTGGAGGGATTCAGTTATCCTTCCTAGGGGTTTATAATTCCACAGGAGGGATTCAGTTATCCTTCTAGGGGGTTTATAATTCCACTGAAGGGATTAAGATATCCTTCCTGAGGGTTTATAATTCCACTGGAGGGATTCAGTTATCCTTCCCAGGGGTTTATAA